CAGGCATTCACCACCACACTTAGCTAATTTTTAAAATTTTTTGTAGAGAGAAGGTATCACTTTGTTTCCCAGGCTGGTCTTGAACTTCTGGCTTCAAGTAATCCTCTGACCTCAGCCTCCCAAAGTGCTGGGATTACAGGCATAAGCCACCACGCCCAGCCCATGTTACCTCTTTTATCAAAGAGGTATTATCTTAAATGGTCTTTGGTATTTATTCAATTTTTTATTATGTTTTAATATTTTTATACATTTATTTTTTACACATTTATATCACATTCATTATAATTTATATTTATTTCATGTGTTTTCCTATATTTATCTTTTCATTACGTTTTAAATTTCCAAATACACACATAAGTAGAATACTAAAGAGAACCACTTTGAGCCCATCTCTAGTTTTAGCAGCTATCAACAATTTAGTATTCTTGTTTTATTTATCAGTCCTCCACTTATATTGCTGTTGTGTTACTGGAGCACATTCCTAGGCATCTCTTTCTACCACCATATACTTCAGGATATATCACTCACAAAGAACATTTGCTTACATAACCATGATTCCATCATCACACCTGTAGTATAATAAAGCTATCTGGTACCCTGTTTCTTGGCACAAAACTCATAAAATCTTTAGAATTTCCTGAACAACAGGAATGTCTTTTAGACATTTATGGTTCTTTAAAGAACCATAAAGCAGTTCTTTAGAACACACTTGAGTTTATGCTAATGAAGTATCTGGAAAGGGGTAGACTGAAGAGTAAGTGCTATAAAAACACTTGAATAATGAAATCTGATGAGCTTCCAGGTTGGGGAATACATCAAAGTGCTGGGAGGGTGGCATGCCCAGACGGGGAAGAGAAGAGACATGAACCACTCTCCTGCCTCATACCTTGCCCTCTGCACCTCTTCTCTTTAGTTTTCTAGAGCTGCATCCTTTATAATAAACCACTAGACATAAGTAAAGTGTTTCCCTCAATTCTGTGAGCCATTGTAGCAAACTATCAAACTTGCTATGGGAACCTCCAATTTACAGCTGGTCATTCAGAACTGCAGGAGCCCCAGACGTGCGATTAACATCTGAAGAAGGGCCAATCTTGAGGAACCAAGCCCTTTAACTTATGGGATCTGATGCTAACTTCAGGTAGATAGTCTCAGAATTAGACTAAGTTGCCGTACACCCAGCTGGAGTCCAAAGAGTTGAACAATTGCTTGATGTGGCGGGGAAAAAACCCACACATCTAGTGTCAGAAGTGTTGGTTGTGTGAATATAAACATCATGTTTTCTCAATCCCCAATAAAAAAGTTAACACTGTTGATGGGAGTATGAATTAGTTTGACCATTGTGGAAGACAGAGTGGCGATTCCTCAAGGATCTAGAACTAAAAATACCATTTGACCCAGCAATCCCATTACTGGTTATATACACAAAGAATTAGAAATCGTTCTACTACAAAGACACACGCACACGTATGTTTACTGCAGCACTGTTCACAATAGCAAAGACTTGCAACCAACCCAAATGCCCATCAATGATAGACTGGGTAAAGAAAATTTGGCATATATACACCATGGAATACTATGCAGCCATGAAAAAAGGTTGAGTTCATGTCCTTTGCAGGGACACAGATGAAGCTAGAAATCATCATTCTCAGCAAACTGACACAAGAACAGAAAACCAAACACCGCTTGTTCTCACCCATAAGCAGTTGTTGAATAATGAGAACACACGTACACAGGGAAGGGAACATCACACACTAGGGCCTGTTGGGGGTAGCGGGGATAGAGGAGGGATAGCAGGGGATGGGGGTATTGGGGAGGGATAACATTAGGAAAAGAACCTAATGTAGATGACAAGGGGATGGATGCAGCAAACCACCATGGCATGTGTATACCTATATAACAATTCTGCACGATCTGCACATGTACCCCAGAACTTAAAATATAATAAAAATGTTAAAAAAAAATTTTAATTAACACTAATCCCTTACTATCATTGGATACCCAGTCTATACTAATATTCTCGCAATTGTCTCAAAAGTATCTTGGGCCAGACAAGGTGACTCATGCCTGTAATCCCAGCACTTTGGGAGACTAAGGCAGGTGGATCACCTGAGGTCAGGAGTTCAAGACCAGCCTGGTCAACACGGTGAAAACCCGTTTCTACTAAAAATACAAAAACTAGCTGGGTGTGGTGGCACAAACCTATAATCCCAGCTACTCGGCAGGATGAAGCAGGGGAACTGCTTAAACCCAAGAGGCAGAGGTTGCAGTGAGCCAAGATTATACCATTGCACTCCAGCCTGGGTAACAGGAGCGAAACTCTGTCTCAAAAAAAAAAAAAAAAAATAGTATCTTGGTTGTTTGTTGGAACCAGGAATCCTCAGTACTTGACTGATATCCCTTAAGAATTTCTTAATCTTGGCTCACACCTATAATCCCCAGCACTTTGAGAGGCCGAGGCGGGTGGATCACGAGGTCAAGAGATCGAGACCATCCTGGTCAACATGGTGAAACCCCATCTCTACTAAAAAATACAAAAATTAGCTGGGCATGGTGGCGCATGCCTATAGTCCCAGCTACTTGGGAGGCTGAGGCAGGAGAATTGCTTAAACCCAGGAGGCGGAGGTTGTGGTGAGCTGAGATCGCGCCATTGCACTCCAGCCTAGGTAACAAGAGTGAAACTCCATCTCAAAAATCACATAATTTCTTAATCTGTAATGGTTCCTGAGGTAGCCATGGAGGGGCATCCCCGAGATATCCTTCAAGAACAACCTGCGGCCAACTGCAAGGCATGGGGTCAGCAGACAGCCTCCAGCTCTCAGCTCCTTCAATGTCAGCATCAGCTGCGGAGCACTGAGGTCACACCTTTCTCCGAGCAACCGACATTCAGTGATCGAGGAGGGAGGGGTAAAAAGGTTCAGCTTTTGGCCTGACACAGAACAACTCTGATCAACAATATTTGCTCACAGAGCCACTCTCGGTTTGCTAAGGTTTTGCCAGGCCTGCATCGCAATGGGTCTTTTCCCACTAGCCCTCCCTTTATAGGCACTGCTCCTTACCAATCTTCCTGCACCCAAACCGTGTGTCGGCATCTGCTTCCAGATAATCCAATTTGCAACAGTTCTCATCCCTTTCTTTTCATGCCCTTGTTAAAGAAACTAGGACTGACTTTATATTTAAAACACGAGTTTCGGCCGGGCGCGGTGGCTCAAGCCTGTAATCCCAGCACTTTGGGAGGCCGAGGCGGGTGGATCACGAAGTCAACAGATCGAGACCATCCTGGTCAACAAGGTGAAACCTCGTCTCTACTAAAAATACAAAAATTAGCTGGGCACGATGGTGCGTGCCTGTAGTCCCAGCTACTTGGGAGGCTGAGGCAGGAGAATTGCTTGAACCCAGGAGGCGGAGGTTGCGGTGAGCCGAGATCGTGCCATTGCACTCCAGTCTGGGCAACAATAGCAAAACTCCGTCTCAAAAAAAAAAAAAAAAAAAAAAACACGAGTTTCAGCATTCCCATCATTTCTCAAGATTGAAAATTATAAGCTAAACATTCTCATTTTCACTAATAGGAATTTCTAATCATTTAATCAAAAGAAATTAAAGATAAATACAATATAAAGTCTCATTTTATCCTCTATAATAGGTAAACCTTATCAGATCCATTTTCATAAAATTGCTGATATCACCAAAATAAACCACAATAAGCCAGGCACAGTGGCTCATGCCTATAATCCCAACACTTTGGGAGGCCAAGGCAGGAGGATCACTTGAAGTCAGGAATTTGAGAATAGCCTGGACAACATAGTAAGACCTTGTCTCTACAAAAAAAATTTAAAAACTAGCTGTAGTAGGGCACACCTGCAGTCCTAACTACTCAGGAAGCTGAGGCAGGAGGATAGCTTCAGCCCAGGAGTCTGAGGCTGCAGTGAGCTATGATTGCACCACTGCACTTCAGCCTGGGCATAGAGCAAAACCCTATCTCAGAAAACAAAAAATACAAATAATTTTTCAAAGCCACAATAGAAGTCTAGATTTATCTATGTAATGATAAAGGAGTCAATTCAGCAAGAGGATATAATAATTGTAAGCATATATGCACTAAACACTGAAGCATCTAGATGTATAAAGCAAATATTAGAGCTAAATTATATTAAACCCCAATGTAATAATGGCTGTAGACTTCAACACCCCTCTTTCAGCATTGGACAGATCTTCCAGACAGAAAATCAACACAGAAACATTAGATTTAATCTATGTTATAGCATAAATGGACCTAATAGATATTTACAGACATTTCATCCAATAGCTCCAGAATACACATTTTTTTCATCAGCATATATATCATTCTCGAGGATAGATCATGTATTAGGTCACAAAACAAGTCTTAAAACATTCAAAAAAAACTGAAATAATATTCTCTGACCACAATGGAATAAAACTAAAAATTAATAACAAAATTAAGTCTCCTAAAAAGGAATTTGGGAGACTACACGAACACATGGAAATTGGAAAATATGCTCCTGAATGACCAGTAGGTCAATGAAGAAATTAAGGAAATTGAAAAATGTTATAAAAAACAACAACAACAGGAAATACGAATGAGCCCTAGGTTAACATTTTCAGGCCTCCTAGGTGGCAGAAAGCGGGAGAAGCAAGTTCTCGCGAAATCTCAAGAACTCCGAGGCCGAGACTAGGGTTTTAGCAGAGAGCAGAAATATACCTCAATAGAACTAGGACAGCATTCAGCGCCCTGAGCTCCAAGGTTGGACGGCAAAGGGTGACTGGACTGAGGATGAAATCCCGAGAGGTTAGGCCCAAGGGAGCGCGCAGAAGCCAGGCAGAAGTTGCCGCGGCGGGGATTGCGGCGTGAGAGGGAGGGCACACGTTGTACGCGCTGACGTGATGACGTAGCAGGCGTTGGAGCGGCTGTGTTAGATCAGTGGCCGCGCCGCTCCAGAGCTACTGCTCCCGTGAGAGGGCCTTGGCGGTGGAGTAAACACTCGCTCAGCAACGGAAGACTCCGAGGTCTCGGTACTCTCCAGGGATGAGTCATGTGGAGATGGAAAATGCGCTCGGGCTGGACCAACAGTTTGCAGGCCTAGACCTGAACTCTTCAGATAATCAGAGTGGCGGAAGTACAGCCAGCAAAGGGCACTATATTCCTCCTCATTTAAGGAATCAAGAAGCTACTAAAGGTTTCTACGATAAAGAGTTCAGGGTGGAGTTCTAGCAAAGATAAGGATGCATATAGCAGTTTTGGATCTCGTAGTGATTCAAGCAGTAGTGAAGTCTAGCTTCTTCAGTGTTCATGGAAGTGGATCGAGGGGAAGGTTTGATAATCGTGGACAGAGTGATTATGACGGCCTTGACAGCCGTGGTGACAGAAGTGGCTTTGGAAAATTTGGACGTGGTGGAAACAGTCGCTGGTGTGGCAAATCAGATGAAGATGATTGGTCAAAACCACTCCCACCAAGTGAACACTTGGAACAGGAACTCTTCTCTGGAGGCAACACTGAGATTAATTTTGAGAAATATGACATTCCAATAGAGGCAACAAGCTGCAACTGCCCTCCACATACTGAAAGTTTCAGTGATGTTGAGATGGGAGAAATTTTCATGGGAAACATTGAGCTTACTCATACTCACCTGACTCCAGTGCAAATGCATGCTATTCTTATTATTAAAGAAAAAAGAGATTTGATGGCTTGTGCCCAAACAGGGTCTGGAAAACCTGCAGCACTTCTCTTGCCCATCTTGAGTCAGAGTTATTCAGATGATCCAGGCAAGGCTTTGAGGGCCATGAAGGAAAATGGAAGGTATGGGCACTGCAAGCAATACTCAATCTTCTTGGTATTAGCACCAACAAGAGAGTTGGCAATACAGATCTGTGAGGAAGCCAGAAAATTTTCATACCGATCTAGAGTTTGTCCTTGGGTAGTTTTTGATGGTGCCAATATTGGTCAGCAGATTCTAGACTTGGAACGTGGATGCCACTTGTTAGTAGCCACTCCAGGATGTCTGATGGATATGATGGAAGAAGAAAGATTGGATTCGACTTTTGCAAATACTTGGTGTTAGATGAAGCTGATCGGATGTTGGATATGGGGTTTGAGCTTCAGATACACAGAATAGTTGAACAGATGCTATGCCTCCAAAGGGTGTCCGCCACACTATGATGTTTAGTGCTACTTTTCGAAAATACAGACGCTGACTCGTGATTTCTTTAATGAATATATCTTCTTGGCTGTAGGAAGAGTTGGCTCTACCTCTGAAAACATCATGCACAAGTAGTTTGGGCGGAAGAATCAGACAAATGGTCATTTCTACCTGACCTCCTAAATGCAACAGGCAAGCATTCACTGACCTTAGTGTTTGTGGAGACCAAAAAGGGTGCAGATTCTCTGGAGGATTTTTTATGCCATGAAGGATACGCATGTGCAAGTATCCATGGAGATAGGGAAGAGGCCCTTCACCAGTTCCACTCAGGAAAAGGCTCAATTCTAGTGGCTACAGCAGTAGCAGCAAGGGGACTGGACATTTCAAATGTGAAACATGTTATCAATTTTGACTTGCCAAGTGATACTGAAGAATATGTACATCACGTTGGTCATACAGGACGTGTAGGGAACCTTGGCCTGGCAACCTTATTCTTTAACTAGAGGAACATAAATATTAATAAGAATTTGTTGGTTCTTCTTGTTGAAGCTAAACAGGAAGTGCCATCTTGGTTAGAAAACATGGCTTATGAACACTACAAGGGTAGCAGTTGTGTATGTCCTAAGAGTCTCAGATTTAGTGAAGTGTTTGGTGCCAGAGACTACCAACAAAGTAGCAGTGACAGCAGTTCCAGCTTCAGCAGCAGCCCCATAAGCAGCAGCCACAGTGGCAGAGGTGGCCACAGCAGCAGCAGAGGATTCGGTGGAGGTGGCTATGGAGGCTTTTACAACAGTGATGGAGATGGAGGAAATTATAACTCCCATGGGGTTTACTGGTGGGGTAACTGAGCCTGCTTTTCAGTAGGTCACCCTGCCAAACAAGCTAATATGGAAACCATATGTAACTTAGCCAGACTATACCTCATGTAGTATCAAGAACTCGCAGTACATTACCACCTGTGATTTTCCACTGAAATTTTTTTAAGGGAGCTCAAGTTCACAAGAAGAAGGGAAAGGAACAATCAGCAGCCCCATTCAGAAGGTGGTTTGAAGACTTCATTGCTATAGTTTTGATTAACTCCCCTCCCGCCTACCCCAACCCCAAACTGCATTTATAATTTTGTGACTGAGGATCATTTGTTTGTTAATGTGCTGTGCCTTTAACTTTAGACTTTTTATTTTGATTCCTGTTGGCTCAGTAATACTCAAAATGTCAATTGTTTTGACAAAATTAATTTGCTGAACTTGAGCTAATATCAAACCTTGGCACACGTGTATGATACAACTTAACAGGAATCATCAATTCATCCTTAAATATAAGGAAAAACGTATACAGTAACCTGCATTAGGGCTTTTGATACTTGTACTTTGAGGGAAAACAAACAACAAACGTATTGAAGCATATTAGTGGAATTAGTAAATTGAAGTTCTGACTTGCTCACTCTATCCTGGATAGGTATTTAGAAACTGATAGTCTTTAAACAAGCCATTTCAATCATGATGAGGTGATGTATGAATACAAGCATACATTCAAAGCACTGTTTTCAAAGTCGATGCAAGTAAATACAGCAATTTCTCTTTCAACGTTTAGGTAGATCATTAATTAGTTAATGAGCTAGCCAAATGTGGGCATACTATTACAGGGAAAGCTTAAAGGTCTGATAGCTTAAAATAGGTTTTTAGGAGAATTCATCTACTTAGACTTTTTAAATGCCTGCCATAAATGAAATTGAAATGGTAGAATGGCTGATCACAGCAATGACCAGCACTCATTAGGGCCCTGGATAATTTTTTATCTAATAACACATGCTAGTGTTAATGTTTTTTGGTCTAGAGGGTATGAACAGAAAGAATTAATGCAGCAGCCTTTATTTTAAATGCCAATTCACATTACTCTGCCTAAGCTGCATTGAGATGTTAAACTGGCTTACTATCGGCTTTGTAAAAAACGGCTCCAGAAGAGTAACAAACTGAAATCTTTGAGATCACAGGGGTTGGAAATGTGAACATAACTGTACAAGGTTTCAATTCTGCTCTACAGTGCAGATTTAGTTAGTTTTAGTTGCATAGGTTTCCGTTGTATTTATAGTCCGTTCATGCTAAATCTGGCCAAAGATGAGCATTGTTCACCACTAAAATGCCTTTGCCACATTGCATTCTGGGCTAATTTTGTGTCCAGAATGCAGTGATCAAAATGCTCCATCTTTTTACAATGTATAGGAAGATAGCAAACATTATCTGAAGTGCAATATATTTTCAAGTGTATTGTGCCTTGTTCAAAAACTATTATTAAGTAGGTGCACTTGACAGTATTGAGGTCATTTGTTATAGTGCTATTTCAATTAGTCTAGGTTCAGGCCCTTGTACATTTTGCCCATAACTTTTTACAAAATACTTCTTTTAGATTGCACAATATATATATATATATATATATATATATATGTATATATATGTCTTGTGTACATGTCCTTAAACTTCCAATCTTATTTTGTTTCTTGGAGATTGTTGAATGCAGCTTGTCTAGGAAGGGGATAGGGCTAGATTCTAAAATTTATTTGGGACCATGGGAATGATAGTTGGGAAGAAAACTATTGCACATGACAGGTTTCTAGATACTTTTTGCTGTTAGTTTTATATAATACTTATTGAACATTTTAACAAATATTTATTTTTGTAAGCCTAAAAGTGATTCTTTGAAAGTTTAAAGAATCTTGACCAAAAGACAGTACAAAAACCCTGGCACTGGAATGTTGAATGTCATCATATGCATGAAATTATATATTTCAGGATAGTGTCAGCTTTCAGTGTTAAGTCATATTAAACTCTTAAGTCAAATTAAGCAGACCCAGATTTGGCAATGTAACCATAACTTTCCAATGTTATAAAAACAAAATTGGCGACTTGAAATTAAATCATGCCAAGGTTTTGATACACTTGTATATAAATAGCAATATAAAAGACTGAAAAAAGGACTACTTGGAATTATTTTCTGATTCTTTAAAAAAAAAATTTCTGTTTCTTCTAACCCTGTTTCTTCGTAATTTAAAAATTTTCTTCTAAAAAAAACAAATCCTTTTAAGACAGTGGATCCTGCATAAGGTACTTCCTGCCACATCTCCTGTGAAGAATACTTCTGAGCAACTGAGTAGCATCATAGTATGGTGCTATAAGCCCATGTTCTGGAGTCCAGCTGCCTGACTCCCATGCCTGCCCTATACTTGCTAGCTGTGTGACCCAAAGAAAGTTGCTTAGTCTCTCAGTCTCATTTTTCTCATTTTTAAAATGGGAATGACAATAAGAGCCCTGACCTATGCTAGCCACAAAATATTCACCTCATACCTTTAACTCAAAATAATCCCAGACCCAAACCTAAATGGATAAAACTGCTAGAAGAAAACACTGGAGAACATCTTCATGACCTTGGGAAAGGCAAAAGACAAAAGCTATTTTCAAAAAATAGATTTAACTTCAGGAAAATTAAAAATTTATGCTTTTCATGGGACATTTTTAAAAAAAAAGGATAAATCACAGGGAGAAAATATTCATAATATATTTATCTGACAAAGGACTTGTATCCATAATATCTAAATAATTAAAACTCTGGCCAGGCACAGTGGCTCACGCCTGTAATCCTGGCGCTTTGGGAGGCCAAGGCAGGCAGATCACTTGAGATCAGGAGTTCAAGACTAGCCTGGCCAACATGGTTAAACCCCATCTCTACTAAAAATACAAAAATTAGCCAGGCATGGTAGTGTATACCTGTAATCTCAGCTGCTTGGGAGGCTGAGGCACAAGAATTGCCATAACCTAGGAGGCAGAGGTTGCAGTGAGCTGAGATTGTACCGCTGCACTCCTGCCTGGGCGACAGAGTGAGACTCTGTCTCAAAAAAAAAAGATTTATTAAAACTCAGTAATAAGAAACAAAACTATTTTTAAAAGGCAAAAGATTTGAACAGATCCTTCGTAAGATAAGATATTGCGTATGAATGACCAATAAGGACATGAAAAAATTCTCAACATCATTGCAAATTAAAACCACAATGGCATCCACTGCATACCTACTAATGGCTAAAACCAAACCCTGACAATATCAAGTATTAGAGAGAATGTAGATGTCTCTACATTCACACATGCAATGTGTGTTTATACATTGCTGGTGAGAATGTAAAGTATGACTAATTTGGAAAACATTTCGAAAATTTACTAGAATTAAACACATATTACCCATATGACCCAGTAGCTCTACTCCTAAGTATTCACTCAGAAATTATTTGTTCATACAAAGATATGCAAATGAGTATTCATAGCAGCTTTACTCATAAGCGTTAAAACCAAAGACAACCCAAATGTCTGTCAAAAAGTAAATGGATAGTGTATCTTTATAACAGATAATTATACTCAACAACAAAAGAGAAACAAACTCCCAATACATACAATATGAATGAATCTCAAAGCATTATGCTGAGTGAACGAGTGCATTCCATATGACTCCATTTACATAAGATCTAGAAAAGGAAAATGTAAATACAAAGACAGAAAACAGACCACTGGATTCTTGGACCCAGGATTGGCAGATGCTCACTGGAAAGAGAACAAGAAAACTTTTGAGGGATAGTGACAATGTTTTATATCATTTTTTTTTTTTTTTGAGACAGAGTTTTGCTCTTGTCACCCAGGCTAGAGTGCAATGGCACAATCTCGGTTCACTGCAACCTCTGCCTCCTGGGTTCAAGCAATTCTCCTGCCTCAGCCTCCCGAGTAGCTGGGATTAAAGGTGCCTGCCACCACACCTGGCTAATTTTTGTCTTTTTAGTAGAGACGGGCTTTACCATGTTAACCAGGCTGATCTCGAATTCCTGACCTCAGGTGATCTGCCTGCCTCAGCTTCCCAAAGTGCTGGAATTACAGGCATAAGTCATTGCACCCAGCCTGGAAATGTTTTATATCTTTATTGTGGTGTTGGTTGCAAAGATATATATTTTTGTTCAAAACTCAGCATTAACCTCCGAATACATCTCAACACCTCCAACTCCCTCATCATTGCCATATGCAAATGGTTGTCAACTTCTGACAATTCTGCTACTGAGCATCAATTAAATTTGGGTGGTCCTCTCTAGTCCCACTTCTGATTTTGTGAAAGCTGTCAGAATCAAAATGGAGTCAGTGCGTCAGACTCTAGCAACAAAAAAAACACACAGAAGGCACAGTGGCTCATGCCTGTAATTCCAGCACTTTCCAATGCAAGAGGATCACTTGAAGCCTCAAGACCAGTGTGGGCAACATAGTGAGACGCCATCTTTACAAAAAATAAAAAATTAGCGCATGGCGGTACACACCTGCAGTCCCAGCTACTTGGGAGGCTGAGATGGAAGGATCGCTTGAGCCCAGGAGGTTGAGGCAACAGTGAGATGTAATTGCACCATTGCACTCCAGCCTGGGTGACAGAGCAAGACTCTGTCTCAAAAAATAAATAAATACACAAACATACAGCAAATAAATAAAACCGGGAGGTTAAGAAGGGAGGGCTGTCATGCACACATACCTATGATAATAACTATTACAAAGACTCTCTCAAGGGCTTTATGCACACATGACTGTAACCAAAATTTTTGCCAAGGACTTTCCAAACTGCAGCTTGCAACATGAGTCACAAGGACGGCTAGCTGGATGCACAAGAACACTTGCCTGACACACTGTCTCTACTAATGAACTAGTGCAAACTCCTGAGATGAGCCTCTGTAACCATTGTTCTCTTTGTTTCAAAACAAATTACCTGCCCTTCTCTCTTTTGCCTTCAAAATCTTCCCCCTGCCTGAACCTCTTTGGACAGATCTGTGGTCCCCAAAGCCCACA